CGGCCCAGTTTGTGCTAGCCACTAATTAGAGCCTGCCAAACATACTATTGGCATTCCACTAGCTACAGCATTTTGGGGCTTGTTTTCCTGGCATCATCAACCCAGGGGGACTGGCATTTAAAAGCTGGCATTAAGAGCGACAGTGCTCACCACTTCAATTTTTACCTTTTACATTTCAATGACTCAGGTTTACCTTCCATAGAGCACAGGGCTCCTTTCACCCACTCCAAGGCCACAATCTGAGCTAGGTGGTGCAACAGGCAAGAATGTGCACGCCATTGATGCTCTAAGTCTCCATATTATCTGGCTGTTGGATTGGTTCTTGGTTGCCAGAAGAGAGAGCGTGGAGACAAACTATATCATTACAGCCCCTGCTACTGTAAAAGGCAAAGAAAGGAAAGGGTTAGAGAAATGGCCTATTTTTATTTTTTAGTAGCTTGCTCTGAATATCCCTGAGGATTTCTTACCTCCCATTAAAATTTTAGTGGAAAATGCTGATTATAAGGAATTCAGTAGTGATATCGGCAAAGGGAAGGCAGCCTATTAAATGCCGTTGCCCCCAGTAAATCCCTAGACACTTCAAAGCCAATAGGGCAGGCAGAGGGGGGGGAGTATGAAGGGGTTGCATATTTTAGTATAAGGATTAAAAATCCAGTATCAAGGCTCACCAAATGCGGGGCATTTGCATATAAAATGTTGTAATGTTTTATTGGTCCATTTTTGCAAATTGTACCTTTTTTCTTCTATACCTGGCTCTGCGAAAGTTAAATTTCCCCAATCCCTGTAGAATCCTGCTTATTCTGCCCTGCCCTGTTCCTCTAAGCTTGTTGAATAAACTGCTCAGCTGAATAACTAGAGACACCTCTCCCCTTCCTTCCCTCCCCAGCAGTCTTTCCCTCTCCAGTATTTTTTTCAGTGCTTTCTTCCATTTTTTCTGTCTGCTGATTCCATTTGCATATGAAGACAAGGGGTCCAAAGCCACATTAGAACCTGACCTGGCCATAGTCTTGCATTCACAAAATGTGCTGATGATAGTGACCAGAGCCAGGATTCAAATTGTTTCCTTTGATGTCTTCATTTATGCATTGCAGTGCCTACACATTAAGCTCCTCGCTCTGGTTGGTGATTCAGTTTGTCCAGATTAGGTGCCTAGGATCCTTGAAAGAGACTTCAGAGGAACCTAGGGGCCGATACAGAGAACCTGGAGTGGTAGTTTCCTCTTAGGGATGCCAAACCTACCAAAGTGAAATGCTGAAGCACAGGGGCTGTTCTTAACCATTGTTCCTTTTAGGAGCTTAGGCTCCTAACTCACCCAAATCCATTAGGTGTTTCTATTCACTTGCAATCCACAATACTTAACCTAACTTCAAGGGATAGCCACCTCATGGTTTCAGAAGATGGGCATGCCATTGGAAAGGTAGCACCCACCTTTTGTCCATTAGCTTAATGGTTAAAGCGTTCATCCAGGAAGCAGGAGACAGACTCTTTTCCTTCTAGGAGGTTTGAGCCCATATCTTCCACCTTTCAGAAAATGCCCTTCCCCCAGGCTAGGGCAGAGGCTAGGGAAGGGCACTGGAGTGTCCTGTAGGCCGGCAGAACAAATAAAACGAACACTGCAAAGGTAGGCAAGAGGATAAAGCTCTCCCTTGTCAACAGTGAATCCTGGGTTCTGCTGCCAGGCTTATTTCTGTTTCTTTAACACATGTTGGTCAAAGTTCAGATGCGTAAACATTTCGGAGCATGTGGGAACTTACCTCTGCAGCATGTTGAGGATAGCTACCCCCTCAAGTAGGGACACTAGTTGCTAGGGTTATTTCTGGGTTTTGACTAAACAGCATCAAGCAGGGACTAGAACTTGGGAACCATCTCCTCCGAAGGGAGGGCTGTCACCACTTGGCTCTAAAGAGGCAGGTTTCTTCTGGCCTTCTGAGGACTCTTGCTCTCTTATCCACCCAGTGGGGGTAGAGACTGGATGTTTAGGGCATTCACCTGGAAAAGAGGAGGTGTGTTTTCAGATCTTCTCAGGGTGATGTACCATAAAAGCCAAGTCTCTCACTTCCCAGCCAAGTGCTCTTGCTACTTGATTATTGGCCAGAAGCTGAGCAACAGTGCCACTGCTCTTGTCTTTTCATGTGCTGCACTCCATACTGTCAGGGCAAGTCAGACATTATTTTTTATTGTGCGGTACCCGACAGCAGCCTCTCCCGGGACATAAGTGGAGTCTAAACTTCTCCTAGCAAACAACTGAATCCTAAAGGGGTCTCCGTGATAGTTAGGCATACCACCTGAATCATTTCAGAGCATTTGCAGAAGCTGTAGGGCAGGTCCCCACATGCAGGGGTGTGTACTTGCAGAGGCACAAATAACAGCAGCACAAATTTGGTGCGCAGCAAATTGTCCCGGGTAGGGGAGGCTAGGGCCAGCACTTGTCCCAGGTAGGGGAGGCTAGGACCAGCAAGCCTCAGCATTATTACCTGGTATCCTGGTGCAGCAGGTTTTCAGATCCAGCATCACAGAGCCTGGCAGGCAACCAGAGCATTGCTCTGGATGGCCAACCCTCCATTTTTTCTGGTGCATACTGCTTTTTTCCCAGGACTTTTTTTTTTTTTGCAGTGCAGCACACTTTTTCATGTTCTCTGCATGTGGTTTGTGGGGCCACAAAGTGGTTTGTGGCCCTACAAACTGCACACCCCTGCATTACCCCTGCTTACCATTTAAGGAACTTAGCAGTTCAAAATGAAGGTGCCTTCCTGATGAATTCAGAGAGTTAATGAGCTGTGGGGGCCACTCTGAGTCACTCTTTGGCACTTAGGCAGCTGAATTCCACCTTAATCCCCTTTGGTGACCTAAGGGATCAATTTGAATCCTGGTCGAAGAACAGTCAGGACCTTGTGTTATATTTGATCTGACAACCAGTGCCTTCAGCATCATAGCCAGGATTTTTGGCTGAAGGGAAGAGACCACCTTCCTTCAGCACCTGGGAGGACACCAGTTCTGGAATCACTCAAGCCTGAATCTTCTTAGCTCTGAGAAGACCATAGGCTTAGGTTGATGTGTTTGGAGACAACAAGGATTCAGACTACTCAGACATAGTTTTGGATCTTGGCTTCATGCAAGAAAGTAAGAGGAACTAAGAGATGCCTACTTTTGTCTCCACAAAAGTTTCTGTAACCTCTTGTCAAGTCATGCAGGGGTGGTGTAATATACACCCTCCCTTCTTTCTCGAGCACCTGCCTGAGGCATGGGAAGAGTTTGGACTCTTCTCCCTGCTGTTCATTTGCCAGCACGTCTGTGCCAGTTTGGAGAGCATCTCAATTTGTGGCTGAGATAGGCCAGCAGAAAATATCTGCCTCGTGCCTAGCTGAAACTGTTACACAGAGGTCACAAAGTTTCCAAGGAGGATTCCTGGAGTGGTACAGCTTATGAACCACCTCTTGCCCATGGTAGTGTCACAATTAAGCCTTTAGTTACATCACATTTGTCATATGCTAGCACAGCTAAAATGATGGCATGCCTGACCCATACAGGGTAAATACCCTGATTCCTTCTGCCCTCTGAACTTTTGAGGATGTATAACTGCCAAGCAATCAGTTGATGCATGAAACCACCATAGGATACATGATAGTTACTAAATAAAAGCAGGCACATGGGTGTTATGGAAGTAGATCCACTCTCTGGACTCCCTGTATACTATTTGTGCCTTGTAAAGTGAGGAACTCCCAACATGCCCTTCTTCTCAACTGACCCACTGCACTAAGTCCAGCATGTGCCTTAGTGTCTTTCCATTGCACAGTTGGGAATGGCACCTGGCAACTATCAAATGTATCTCATGTTTTACAAAATGGTGAAAGGGTGGACAAAGACATTTTGGGAATAGCATGAAGAGCTGTGTCCTGAGAGAGCAACAGAGCCTAACCTGTGCCATTGTTGTCCCCTGATCTTGTGTCCAGATTCACCAGAGCTTCCTCATGTTCTATGAGCGTATAACCTTGCAGTGCCTCCTGCATCAGTACAGTGAAGCTCAGTGTAACAAAGACAGCATTTTAAAGAGGGCAAAACCTAAAGTACATCCACCATATCACAACTCTTGGTCCTGGCAGATGCCGGAAATAAGTGTAGGCAGGCACGGTTCTTTGGGTAGATGTAAAATGGAAATAAGCATATGCATTGGGGCCTGCTCCTACAAAGTGCTAAGCATTCTCTGTTTCCCGTCCCCCACTCTTGTCAACCACTCTGAAGGATGCCCAGCACATTGAAGGATCAGACCACAAGTCACACGTGCTGATGGAGTCTTACTCCCTTGCGTGCCAGCCCCGCAGTATTTTCAAGTGCTTTGATCCCCCCCAATAATGCACAGATGCATCAGATCCAAGGGCTGGCTGAATCAGATGAGCAGGTGTTCAGGGAAAGCCCAGTCAGTCAAACTGAAGGAAGGGGAGTCGTAGTTAGAGACTGGGAACTTACTAAGGCTGCAAGGCAAAGTGAAGCATGATTTGGTGACCATGCATTCATGCCCCATTTTAATCAATGCAGTTTTCCAGGAATGGCTACTTTCCACTTGCCCTTCAAGTTGCCAAGTAACTCCAAGCTATATGTATAGCTGTTTCAACAGTGTGGTGTTGCGTGCCAGGCTCAAGCAGCTGCAGCACCCTCCCTGCTTGGTTAGGCCTCAGTACCCTGCCCCCTGGTATGAAATTAGCTCATCCCCCTTTGGCTGTGGTCCCAGCCTCTCTATTTCCATAGGTGTCCCATTCCAACACTCTTCCTCTTCCTGCTCATTGTCTTCATCCTCCACACACCCCCACGCACATGGCTCTGGACCTCTCATCACGTTCTTCTCGTTAAAAACCCCATTGTTCATTTGTTTGTTTGTTCTCTCTCTCTCCTCTCTCTCTTTCTCTCTCCCTCTTTGTTTTTTTTTTTTCTTTGTCTCCTCTGTTTTGTGTACCCAGGCAGCCCATTGAGTAACTTCTTTGACGTAATTAAACAACTTTTTTCAGACGAGAAGAACGGGCAGGTGAGCCACCCCCCCGGCACGCCAACCAAGCATAGCGCAAACAGCAAGCGGAGCGATTCCGATGCTAATGACTATGGGTCTAGAGGAGACAATAAGTACCCCGCTGGCAAAGACAAGGCAAAGATGGTCTCATCGGTCGGCCTACAAGACCAACCTTAAATAAACATACTTAAAAAAATAAATTAAATAACTTTAAAAAAGCAAGAAAGAATGAAAGAATATTCCTTAGCAAGCTAGCCTCTAAACTAGAAGGATGTATATACCTTGCCACAACAGTACAAAACTGTCTATAGACAAATTTTGTATGAAGGAATGACTGTATATATATACATATATATATTTATATATGATATATAATATATATCTCAGAAACAAACACAAAAATAAAAAACAAAACAAAAAAAAAAGAAAGCAAAGAAAAGGTAGCACAGATGACAAAACCCAGTTCGCCAGATCTTGGGTTGTGGTTTTTTTTTTCTTTTCTTTTTTTGGTTTTGTTATTTTTTTTCTTCTCCCCATTTTTGGACTATTTTTTTCCCCATTTTTCCCTCCTGATTTCTTTTTCTTTTGTTTTTGTTTCTTGTTCTGTTCATGCTCTCTGTGTTTCTGACAACACCACTTGTTTCCGCTCTGCTACCAGGAATTATCCCGAAAAGTTAACATGCCAGCCACGGCTTCACCTTCTGTGCTCTGCGGACACTTGTTGACGGAAGGCAACCGATGTAGACTGTCCAAGGACCAGTCCTGTTTGAGGTTCCCAGCCTCTCCCCCTCCCTCTGGGAAATGGGTTTCTCCCCCACGCTCCCCCCCCAAACGCCTCCCCAACACACGCTTTTTCTCTTTTTCTTTTTGGTGCTCCACGAGAGAGATCTGCTCAGTAATGGGATTGCACGGTCTGGGCTGGAAGCAGGTTGCAATTGTTGGAACGACATCATTGTTCTTGACAACATTCATCTGTGCAGGTGAACTCAGAGGTGAAGGGGGAGGGGGGCGCGAAACAAAGGGAGGAAATGGTACAAGAAGCCTAGGGCGCACTCTCTTCAGAGACCACCAAGGAACGAGTCAAATCAAAGCATTGAACCAAGAAAGTTACTGGAGAGCTCCAGTGGGGGAATATTCTCAGATGTCTTTTTCCTCCCCCCACTGCCCTTTCTTCTTCCTTTCTTTATTTTGTTTTTTTTTAATTGAGTTTAGTTTTTTTATATACTCTATAATTTTTCTTTTCAACCTGCTGGAGGGAGACAAGATAGACTTGGGGGGGTAGGGATAGCAAACAAACACAAACAAACATTGAAACTTAGGGAAAAGGCAACGTCTGGCCGCAAAGATGAGGGACAGGATCCTGCCTAGCCAAGGACAGTCTCTCCTGCTGCCAACCATCGTTGCCGTTGCTGCTACTGCTGCACTTCCACCCTGCCTATCGACTCCCTCCAACCATGCCGCAACCGCACTGAGATCTTCCTCCCCCAGCCGGACCCTCCGTCTCATCGCGCATTTGGATGCAATCTTCGTGTCGCTAGTGCTGCATCAAAATATCAGTATTATTATTTATTTGCTGGTTTCACTTTATTTATTTGATGTGTTGGGTTGTTTTGTTTAATTTTTTTTAAAGACAAAGAGAAGAGAATTATTATGAGGATTATTTTTGTTGTTTCCGTGTGTGTGCGTGTGTAAACCACTGGCACTTAGTTCATCTGAGCAAGACAAGAAGGGTCAGTGCTATGGGCGAGTTAATCACAAAGCTACTGTAAACTTTAAAAAGTACTGCAAGATATTTTTATAAACTCTTTTTGTTTAGAAAGGGGGCTAGGGGGTGGGGTAGGGTGGATGGGGGACTGTTTTTTTGTGTTTAAGTTATTAGGTCTTGATTATTTATATATACATATATATATATTTAAAAAAATAAGCTGTTAGATATATCTTCTGTTCTGTTTAATTACTGTGTAGAGGCGACACGGATTCCTATTTATGTTGGGGAGGGGAAAAAAAGACATGAAGGCCCTTAAATGTTCATCTTGTGAACTCGACAATTTTCTCTCTTTTTTTCGTCTTTTTTTTCTCCCCCCTGAGGTACATGACAAAGGGTAACTTATTGTGGCCCAAGTTCCAAGGTTAAACAAATCAAACACAGTTTTTATGCGTCGAAGACAAAAACACAATGAGAAGTACTTCTTTACTGAGATTTAAGAATGTAGGCTTAGCATTAGTGTGCAATTCTCTTATGACCTTTGATTGCTGTTTGTTGGGTTCCTATGGCTGTGTGTTGTACCACAAGATTTTTTTTCTTTTTGATGATAATGTTGGATGGTTTCTCTCTCTCTCTCTCTCTCTCGTTTTTCTTCATTTCTTTTCTTTCTTTTTTTGGTGATTGTCGTTGTTCTTTATTTTAATTTCCCCCCTCTTGGATCAGTTTTACTTGTACATAGGTTTGAAGATTGAAAAAAAAGAGGCAATTTTTTTAACAACACATTTAGGGCAACGACCTTTCACCCTTGCCCTTTGACCCCCATCCCCCAAATGGGAGGGATTTGGTTTCTTTTTTTGTTTTTTTGGTTTTTTTTCTTTCTTTCTTTTCCCTATTCTCCAACTTTTTCTCTTGTATTGCTGTATGCATGTCAGGCGCCAGGGCTGATGGCCAGGGATGGGGGGGAAGGCAAGGGTGCAGGAGAGAGGGACAGTTTTAATTGCATGACATTGCTGTAAATTAGTCTCTTTTGCTTTTGTTGTCTTTCCTGCCTCCACCCACGCTCCACCTCTCCTCCAAGCTCCCCTCCCATGCGCCTCCCCACCTTTTCCCTCCTTTCTCTTCCCTTGTGTATAGATTTTGATGCTTCTGTTACATTGTACCTCTACAAAAGGCTGGGATTTCAATACAAAATAATAATAATAATTAAAAAACCTATATCAGCAAAACCGATGTGGTACAAGCAGGAAGGGGATTACTTACACAAGATATAAGAATAAATGAAAGCAATACCTCTTGTTATCCTTCCTATTTTGTACTCTGATGACACGCGCGCACACACACACACACACACACACACACACACATACAGACACAAACTGACATTATTTAACAGTTTAAAATGGACAAAAAAAGATCTGATGTATCCCTTGTTAAATAACTGTGAGCAACTTTAGTTCAAAAACCAATAAATTCATTCAGTAAAGATACTAGCTGTGGAGTGTCCTGTTTATGTCCTTGACAGACAGTCTTGTCTCTCCATTCACCAGTACCAGCCTCCAGTAAGTACTGTACTGAGGCCTTCCACCCCCAGGCAGAAAAGTACAGCTTCAGCTTAACTCAGCATCTTCTTGACCATGAAATTAATGCAAGACTTGTCAGGCATTAGTGACTTGAATGCTTGGCCCAGCCTGGCAGAGTCCTGCATCCACCCAGCAGAGCTGCACCAAGGCTGGACAGACAGCAAGGATAGTCCAGTTGCTGTTTCTTTTGGTAACTCTTGCAAAAGGCTGATCTGAATCTGAGATGGAACTAAACCAAACCCCTCAAAGAGCAGGCTCACACCTTGGAAAAGGTCAGAGCCAGCACCCAATGTCAGTGCTGCAGTTATTCAGTCTCATTTCTAATCTCATCATCCACATCAGCTCTGGATGTAAGAGCCAAGAAACCACTTGTTATACTTTCTCTCTGGAGCACCCTACCACTCAAGTGTATTTCAAGAGGCTTCACAGGTATGTCTCCCTGAAATGGATTTTTGTTGCTTGTTGGTTTGGTCACCAGTTTACTTGCCCTGTATCTCCCATTTTCTACCTGTCAGATATTATGCCAGGTTTATTAACACTTGTATGTTGTGTGAGGGCCAGGCAGCTGATCTGCCAGAGTGGTATATATAGGCATGGGTCCTTTCCCACCCTCCCACACTTTCTACCCCAACATGGTGCTTGGTGGCTCTGCTGTGCCTGTGGAGGAATGAATTTCATTCTGAGGAGTGTAGCTGGGGGAAAGGTTCCTCCAGAGGTGACCCAGAAACATAGCTTTCAGAAAGTCCTCCTCTGTGCTGCAGGGCACAGAAAGATGCAAAAAGAGAAGGAAGGTTTGCATTGCCCTGTATGTCAGAAAGTGAAGGTTATGTAAGGGTGAAAAGAGGACATTTTTCATCAGATGCATAGAAAATCCCATAGAGAACTGAGGTTGCTGTGTGTTGGTGTTCACTGTATGTCTTGGTATGTCAAATTGTCAGGTGGTCTGCAGAGATGATGACTAAGAAAAGGCAAGTGTGTCAGTAGTCACCTTCAGGGTGTAAGAATAACATAGTTTGCATGTTTGCTCTGTCCATTTCCAGCTAAAGGTCCCATTCTGTAGTCCAGCAAGGCAGAAAGAAGATACCACATGCAGTGGCTGTCAGATGTTGTCATAGTGATGACCAGGGATCCCTGTTTTCTGTTTAAAAATTGCAAATTCTCTGATTAAAACACACACAAAACCCACATTTTTCTGCAATTAAAATGAAACGACATTATATATGTGTGTGTGTGTGTGTATGTGTATATACATATATATATATGTGTATATATATATGTATGTATGTATCAGTTGAATGCAATGTTTTACTAATATATTTACAATTTTAAAGCAATTTGAAAGCCTACTGGTGCCTCAGTCATTATAATAAAATTAATTCTAAATACCTATATATTTTGGTTTTGGGCCTTTTATCATGGAAAATCAGATCTTCCCCTGCCCCCTTCACTCACCAGGATGTAGGTCCAGCTGTAGCTATCCCCCCTACTGCTTTGTAGCACTGAGCAGCCCTGATATGCTGGTGCCCTGCCCCTGCCTATGCTGTTGCCCCTCACTTGCAACCCACAGCCCCCCACAGCCCTGCTAGTGCCCCTCACTCCTGACCTGCTGCCCCTCACCCCTAGCAGGTGATGCAGCACGGGCCAGGGGGCACAAGTGATGCGGCAGAGGGGCCACATACCCCATCCCAGTTTTCTGCACCTGCAGTGGGGTGTGGGGCTGCAGCCGAGCTGGACCAGCTCCAGACAGGAGCCACCTCTGTGGCCCAGTGGGTGGAACATGGTGTGGGAAGGACCACTGCACTGCCAAAGTGAGGTGCAGTAGTGGCGGTGACACAGAGTTGTGCCCCTGCTGTTGCCAGGCGGGCAGGGGACTCCTCACCTTGGTGGCCATA